TTCGGTATCCACTTTGAAAACCTAGAAGTTTACTTCCAACCCCCCGGAGTCGGTCTACTCAACTGCTTTTAATGTTCGTACATTGAAGCAAGCAGAACAACAAACAGCTCTTGTACCCTGGATCCTGTCTTCAATGAAGTATGTTACCCTTCAGAAACAAGTATCCAGCAGGAAAGTACTGTGACCTAACTGACTGCTGCTCTCTCTTGCAGCTTTAGGTGGCGCAAATCTGGTGACACGCACGCCGCTGCATCTGGAAATGTCGGGGTGAGAACTGTGTTCATTCGTTGGGTGGAGGCGTCCCTTCTTGATGAGGTACCCGTTGATAGCCAACTCTGAGCGGTTCGTTTTGCAATCTTCGCGAAATAATCTCCAAGTGGAGTGATTGCTTCGCGTTTATTGCACTGACTAACACCTCGAAGGGCCGTAGCCCTAAATCTGCCAAGATCAGTTTCCGTGATAAATAGGTGTCGTTTTACAACGGGATGGAAGCTCAGACACCGTTGCGGTTGCTGGTGACATGAGCGCTCAGGTACATAGGTTTATTCATGCTGGGGTCCATATTGGTGGTCATCTTGGACTGGACAGGAGACTCACAGACAAGGTGTAGTGCGAACTTTAAATGGGTTCTGATCACACACTGTTCCTATGTACCACCGATTTCCGGAACGGTGGAAATCGTTTGACCACGTGACACGCACCAAAGAACCAGCCCCGAATCCGAATAGACTATATTAACCAGATCGACCACTGCTTTCCGCTCCTTTTGTGTTACCTAGGTGGACTCTGACCATGCACTTGTCTGCCACTGCTTTTGATGTCTACGCAAAGTGTGCACATCTTGCTTAGTTACTGAGATGCTAATGAACACTGGAATCAAGCAAACCTATTAGTATTGACTTCTCTAAGGACCATTGGATACAGATATCCAAATCACCAACCAATGTCGGAAATTCCACTTGTGGGGTAATCTAGCCAACCTTATCCAAGAACTGTTTCTCTTATTAGCCCGTGGCTTTGCTGCAGGCCTGGTAACACATTCATCCTTGACAAAACCACATCCCAAACCGACGCATCTTCCGACGTCAGACGAGACTGAGTCTTCGTGCAGACCAGGAAGCTTACTAGATCCGAGTAATTTGAAGAGGCAGTGAATGCTGGAAATGAGCATGTACTGCTTCATTTGGCTCGTTGGACTTGGAAAACTCATGTCAGCAAAGTCATCAAGAAGGGAGATGGCTTGATATCTAGCGAAGAAAACGTTTGTGCCGTTGGGCACACTACCTCAATCATAAATCCAGATAGCCAGCAGGCAGGGGGGAGGGCTGATTATCGTGCTCATCTTCAGAAAGGGTACCTTTAGTGAATGTATTGACAGCAAGGTTTCAGTTTGTGTCTCTTTCTAACGGGTCTCTGGCGTCACTGATTCTGGTCGTCTTACCGTAACACGTAAAACATTGGCCAGTGAGCGTCAAGCAGGAGTTGGACGGGTTGGAGTCTGTGTTGACCATATCTTCACACTCCGTCAGGTGTTGGAGCAACGCCATGCATAAAGACAACCCACAATCTTGTTGCTTCTTATCTTCAGAGGTGCATCTGATTCTGTCGTTCGGTCAGTGCTCCTAACTACATTTGCGCAACAGAGGTCCAACCCCTTTATTTGCAAGAGTGTATGGTTAGCTCTCTAGAAGCTTTCTTACAAAAAATGGCGTCCCTCGTTTATGCAAACTTTCTCCGAAATAATGAGTTAAACGCTAGAACTTCTTCAAATCCACATTCTTCATAGCGTTGGGGACGAGAATTCTGTCGATCTGCAGTTAGCAGACCAGATCTTTGGAGGTGAGTACTAAACATAAACTAGGTTGAGTAAACTGTCTCCAATCATACCGAATTCCGGTATTCGGCACGCGGTTAGCACCCATGTCACCCCCTCACCAACTCTTTTGCCTTTCACTTTAAGTCTTTAAAACTAACTGAGTAAAGTTTGTGCTTATACGGCAGTCAGATGTGAGCGTCAAGACTGGTGTTGCTGTCTCTGATGATGATGATGATGAATGATGATGATGATGTTGATGATTAAGAGGACAAATTGATGGTGTTCTTTTGAGGAATTTGGTCTCTTCTTCTCATTATAGCCATGATATACTGAAAGAGGTGAGACGGTAACTTTAAGCTGAGATAGACATGGTGTTCTTTAATTTGGTCTCTTCTTCTCATTATAGCCATGATATACTGAAAGAGGTGAGACGGCAACTTTAAGCTGAGATAGACATGATATCAGCATCAATGTGAGGCACGCTGCATGGTTTTAGCTAATCCATGCCTATTGAATTCCAACAACACTGCACGAAAGGCCACCTCATTTATAGAATTTGGAGATAAATGTGCATTCGCCGATTTCGCATAACAACTAATCTATTGTTCGCAGTTGACTGAGACTTGGTATTCTGCGACTTAGAGCATGCTCATTCCGGACAATCGGACCATCCAGTTTTGGTGGTTTCGTCGGACATTTATCGTGATCAGAAGATTGATGTATCGACCTAGTACTGCTGTTGTGCTTTCCCTGTATCTAAACAAGAGCCCACTGGATGGCAGTAATCACGGAGTAGTTGCGATTCATGTGACGTAATACATCGTTTGGATTTTGCTTCTGGACATGACCAGCAGAAACACAACAGGGGAAGAATGTACGAGCCTTGCCTCATCGTCCCTAGATTTCAGACTTTCTCAACTAAACCTGATGGATTTGACATCCAACAAGACAGACCATGTGTTACTCCACTGGAATTTTGAAGTAATCGCGAACAGCAATCTTCGGGGCACAACCCTTTTTGTGAGTGTTTTAGTAAATGCAGCCATTGTAGTCGTTCCAGTTACCCACCACAGTTCGAGGATATTTTTCTCACTGGTAATGATGGTTGTGGTACCACTTTGAGTGTCTCAGCTATCTGTTTCTTCAACAAAATGGACGCTGATCATGTTGATTCCAGCTCACACCGGAGAAGGTGAAGATTCAAAGTTTGAGCTTTGGAGTTGTAGCAGATGAAACTAACAATTTAGGTAAAAATAAGGGAATGTAGTCCCGAACAAATAGTCCTCATCGAATCGGAGAGCAGCAGAGACAATTTTTGTGTCATTTGACACACATGATATTTGCTTTAGTTAACGACGAAGGTCGGACACTTGATTCATTCAGTTCTACTAAATGTGAAAAAACTAAACCTTGAAAATTTGCATTGTGGTTTGACCTTTAAAGACCCTCAATGATCTGGGCATGCCAAAGTCGCAAGCTGACAGATTCAATCCTCCGGGAACTAGTAGCTTGTTGGCGGCCTTTGTTTTCGTGTGGAAGTCCATTAAGACAGTGCAAAACGCGAAACAGAAAGCCAAATTCAGTAATCTTTGAAAACAATAAAAGTATAATATGTCGTTGGCATCAGACCATATGATATGTAAGTATGTTACCAAAACTTTAGACGGAGTACCTTCTCTATCGAATGCATTTGCTGTACATTTCCTAGGAAATAAGTATACTTAAGTGTATTTAAGACGGTTTTCTTTGTTGACACAAAATATCTTCTCACCAACTGCAACATGAAGCGGTGTATCGCAGGACATCCAGTTGAAGAAGCACACCATAAACGAGGGACTTTGCTCGGATTCGGATTAGCTTGCCGTCAAAACCAATTTGCCGTAAAAGTGAGTGTCGAATTTTGTGCAATTCGTTTCAGATAGAACATAAGGTTGATGAAGACTCATGGGCTGGGCCCATCTGAAGAGCCCTAATGGAGGGGATATCGGTCGCGAGCTGTCGAAGAATTCTCCGTAACCGTATGAGTAAGGTATTACGTCTGTGTCTACGTCTGAAGTCAAACTTTTTTCAACAAAATCCCACCAATTTCGTTAAATGTGGGTACCGCTCACGTAGAAACAGCCAAACTAAAGCACTTGCTCGAGAAGTATACAAATGTTTATGTATGCACACATACTTCCGGGATAAAGTGGATACGGTCAGTTTGTTTCACAGAGGACATCCACTTACCAACCACTGTGCAGAGGTGTAAATCTGCCATACTGCAATGCAGCATACTACTGAATGGCAGTACTGTTAACTTGCTACACCATGCAAAATAATCGATTGGTAAATGATATGCTGATTTACCCAGTTTTGACCCAAACTGACTTGTCTGCCATTCGATACCACCATATCATTGATTAGACCAACGCACTGCCAAAATTCGGTTACCAATCGGTCAATACTCTGATCTTCTGTGTTTCCTGACTGAATGCGGTCAAATTTTGTTGAAGAGCCTTCGTGTTCGGAGCTTGACTGACCATTCCATATTAGGTTGCTTATATGCATAAAGTTTTTGCAGCCCTAACGAGGTTCTCCATCGTGTCACGTCCTGATCCTCAAACTCTGTAGTTCCGTGCGACTCATGCAGCATGTAAAGCAAACCGTTCTCCCACTTTGCAATATTGTTGGATTCCACAGAGTCACTTCAGTAGCGGCAACTTACTGATACATTATCGTTCTACAAAACAGGCAAACTGAAAGAGGTGTCTTCCGGACACAACATAAAGACAGAAGGACAACGTTGTGTACATCCAAGCTAGGAGACTTATGTCCTCAGATACCGCATTTCGAGCGGGAAGAATTTGTTTGGTTGGGAACTGCGGAAGTGAAGTGTAAGAAATTTACGAACGCAAAAAACATAACAGATGACCCGAATGACTACATCATTTTACCCGGAATGCTAAAATTAGAACAAATGACCAGATTTCAGAGGCCTTCATTGGGCTATTTCTCCTAAAGGTTTTGTTCCTTGTAGTTACCAGCGAACGAGACGTAGTTTTTGCGCAGTGTAGCAAGAGTCACCATAGGCTCACGTATTGCATACCGTAGTGTAAACTATTTTTGTAAATGACATTATATTCGACAAGCTACCAATATTTCAATTATTGATTACCGGTAGGAATCTGTGTTGATTTGCCTAGTTTAACGCACAGACAGGAACATAGTTCGTACAATAACATGGTGTAAAAGTATAAAAACTATTCGTCCTGCACCGTTTTCTCCTCCATTTGAGGGAGAATTTAGTCTATTTTTCTCAGTTCTGCGGTTTTCTTGAAACCTTTGGGAATCGGCTTCCGGCGCGAATGAGTTGACTGCGTTTCCTAAAATGGTGAAAAAACGGACAGTGCAGCATCAAATCTCCATATGTTATCGGGAACATGGCTGATTCACTCCTGAAAAGGAACGAAACACTGCACAGATCCTGTTAAGTCATAAATGCTATTACAAGGTATTTTAGTCCAAATTTGTTGTTTTTTAATCTAAAGAGATGATTGAGGGTTTCACATTGTTCAAAACAGTTTCAAGGTCCATGAATACAGAGAATCGCCAAAAACCCTCAAAGGTTTTACTTTGACCAAAATATAAGGGAACAGTCATTAAAAAACTGCAAATATTCGGCAAAAACCTCTTAACAAGTAAATTTTTGTCATTGCAATTACCGTTGCATCACAACCATCATTCCCATCATCAGTGACAACAAAACCAGGTAAGAGCACTGGTGCTTTACTGCCGTACAACTATAGGATGAAACCTTATAGTGGAAAGAAGGAAAATTAGACAGGGAGGGGGTCTAGGGCCAGCATAAAGCCAAGGTCTGAGGTGCCTCCAACACTGGCAGACAACCTGGATAGAAATTGATTGAATGAAGGCCACTGACATCGATTAACCGCCAGCCCTCACCTCGATTAGCCGCCATATCCTTCAGTGTCTCCAGCAGACCACAGATGGGTCACGTGAACCGTCGGAAGATGACTATCTCACCAAGAGAAATCCAAGTGCACAACTTTACTAAGAGACGTTGTAAAAATGGACTATTTTACCAACTTGCTTGTCTCTTTAGCTGGAGAAGCCAAGCGATTTGTGTCCCGGTAATCGTGAAGAAAGAATGCTAAACCCATCTATTTCATGGAAACAGAACACTACAATTTGAAGAGTTACGTCAGCTTGTCACGAAAGGCACGCCCTAAATCTTCAAACCGGAATTCTTTTGGAAGCGGACTAAGTTGCACTGGAATGGACAACAGTCTATAGATAGAATGTGATCGAAAATGTTCCCAGTGGTTGATGCATGTACATACTGACCGGAAAGTCCATGGTCCCAACACAGCTTCGACATCTTGACTACTCCCGTCTAGGTTTGGGAAATCTGAAGTATCCCCTCAGGAGCGGTTGCTAAGCGCCAAAGGGATGGTGGGGATGAACGAAAATATCACTGAGGTTTTGTTTTCACTCGACGTGTTCGTTTAGTTCAATCCAAGTGGGCTCGAACTCTAGCCTCATGCTTGCGGATGAATCAATTGAGGTAGTAGGCAAATTTGTTTACCTGGGTAGCTGTATCAGCTCCGGTGGTCTCGCGAAAGATTATATTTTCATCCGGATTGGGAAGGCCAGAGCAGCTTTTGTGAACCTACGTCACCTGTGGCGTAGGCGTGACATCAGCTTCTCTGTCAAGGGTCGAGTTTACAATGCTGCGGTGCGCTCCATATTACTACATGGATCAGAAACCTGGCCGCTGCGCGCCGAAGATGTCAAAAGACTTTCAGTGTTTGACCATCGATGTCATCGGAGCATTGCCCGAATCTGGTGGGAACACCGGATCAGCAATTCTGAGGTACGTCGAATGGTATTCGGGAGAAATAACTCGCCCTCGATAGATGAACTGATCACACTGCACAGGTTGCTCTGGCTTGGTCACGTGCTGCGTATGCCAGTCGACCGACTTCCTCGAAGGGCTCTTTTCGCCCAACCACGTGAAGGGTGGAAGAGAGCCAGAGGTGGTCAAACAATGACTTGGCAGCGAGGTATGAAAGCCATTACCAGCAAACTCAGCTGCGCTGGTCACTGCCATCTTCCTGGATGGGGACCCCGAGACGGGCCACATCAATGGCTGGAGACATTGTCAGACATGGCCCAGTCGCGCCCTCAATGGCGCTTGTGCATCCATGCTATTGCCTTAAATGCATAGCTCCCCTTCCAATCTCCCACTTAACAGTCCACCTACAGTGCTGCATTTACGCACTAATTTATCAGCAGCTACCTACCCCACCTCCCCGAATCATCGGTGAACGAAACTGTGGCAGCAACAACCACTGAACGGCAAGTACGCAGTTCTTACGGCTGATAATGATGATGATGATGTCACCTAGAGAACCATGACAGCTTTGAAGATTTGGAAAAGCGGACATTTGTGTTTCGGCGGAATGCTTGTTTTTACTGGGCATCGTTCCTCACAGAAGATATGACAACCAGTAAGCAATACACTCAGTATTTCGCTTCAATCTTATCCTAAGATAAACCGTTTTTCATTGGATATATCAAGTAGATGGGTTCCATTAAATACACTATTCGGAGCGAAAAAATGAAGCATTGTTCCTCCAGTTGATTTGAATAGGTCGGTGAATAGCAATGTTGTGCGGGGAATTCATTTTGTACACTTACTCCCACCACAGAAGACGTAAAACGGCGTAAGCTACAGCAGCAACAAATATTTTATGATTCTAAAACAACGTCGTTGTCTCCACTGTCTTGTACAAAATCGGCTAGAGTCAACTGACATTACATTTTAGACGGATGATTGTAAACCCCTTGAGTTTAACTTTGGGGTGAGCGTAACTACTCGTTTTACGGGTTGGTATAAGTTCCGCCATTGGCATCTAACACTAATAATTTAGACATTCTAAATCAACACATTCTTGGTGTTGCGGAAGCTTATAAACTCAGACTTATCGTTACGACAAGTTGCAAGTACAACTTTCGTAGCCAACAGCGAATGCCTTGAAAGTTCGGATAAATAAGTCAGTTTTGACAGGCTCAGTTACACTCTTAATTGTTGGAGCCGCCTTGTAGTGTTATCCCAGTGTCGAGCCTCACTGCTGCCACTGTCCGTTAGCTTATGGGCCTGGTGGATGAGTGCTGACCTTCCAAGTCGACAGAATTTAGGTCCACCCCTTGTCCCACCCGGTATGCCAAACGGTGCATTGGATATTGGTCCCCCCAGAGGTGTGAAAATATTATATCAAAATACACTCATTTGCGTACCAATGCGGTTTCTGAAGGGAGACTCACCTGGGACTCAGATGAATCTCTCGTTTGTGATGTTCTTAAGCTGAATCTTTTTCCAAGTAAGCCCCGCCACTAACGTAAAAAGTGCCTGTGCAAAAAGTTAAGCCCTGCCCCGCTTTTAGCCAGCTTCAATTCAATGTACGCACACGACCTTGACCTATTTTTGATGAAAACAATTCCTTAACCTCATCTAGGCTCATTTTGTGCAAGAATTTTCCCCGTGCGGACGTAAAACCTTAAATGAATTTTCTGACGCTTTAAACTCTCGTTCATGACAAGGAGACGGCAATAAGTTTTTTTGCAAAACCAAGAGTGATCCATCAGCAACGATCATGCAGCAGTGGCCACCAAATGACGCTTTCAACTGTTTCTGACAGGTGGAGGTGTAATGCCTGACAACGTCGGCAAAAAATCGGTCTTCAAAGGGGATCTGCCGGGAAACTAAAGAGGTGTTCATGTATGCAGTGCCAGATCGAACTGCGGTCACTTTGATGGACACAATCCAGGCCTGCATCGCTCTCTGCTCAGTCATCATCTCCGATTTGTGGGCATCATACCAAGGAAGTGAAACGATGATTGACATGAATTATTCTCATGAAACGGTTAATTATACCGAAAACTTTGTGAATCCAACGACTGGAGCTCATGCACAAACCATCGAGTCCTTTTGGCACGTCTCCAAGATGTAGAATAAACGCCAATGCGGCACACACCGATCTTGAGTGGACAGCTATTTGTGTGAGTTCGTTTGGAAGCAAAGATACCAAATAGTGGACCTTTTCATGCAAATTAATAATGACATGTCCCAATTTCACCGTCTTCAATAAAAAATAAAAGTACAAATTTCACATCCTCTTTTTTCTAATCTTTTTTTAGTGGTGGGGGTTAATTTTTTGGCTGGGCTTATCTGGAAAAGATCCCTTAAGCAACTGAATGTGTTGCACCTGGCCGCCTCATGTTTCACATGGTACGAGAAAAGTGTGTTTCAAGCTTTGGATGTGAACTTGCTAAGCTGGGCCACATTACTCCAAAACGTAGACAAAATCTAGAGATGTAACCATTTTTAGGAAGACATTTTTTGTAATCGTGTAGGAGTTTGTAAGTTTGTGCCACCAATCGGTGCTTACTCTGCACTTCGACTTCAACTGTATTAATAGCTTCCAAGATTTCGAGTGGTCCACTTTTCAGAATACGAGACATAAATGAATAGAACCCAAAAATCATGTGAACATGGTCATCCCTGTTCATTCAATAACCAAGAAGTTTGCCTTGTAGAGGTGTTCGTCCCCTACGCAGGTTGGTCTCTGTTCGTTATGGACAGGCAAGCTCAATCATAGAGTGCTGAATAGTTCATTAAAAACATTCAGTGATATTTCCACTGTATTTCCAACTTTCGACTGCCGACTACCCCCAATCTACGCGCCGGAACACAAACACCCCTTCACCATAGTACCGTTTCCAGACTGCTTTCTGTGCTTCCTTTTCTTTTCACGGTCCACTGTGCTACAGTGTGTTTCATTTTCTCTGCGACTCCAAATCTTTCGCTCACACCAAACCCAAGGCGAAAATCAGTCATGCTGTTAATGGAATGAGTGTGTTGACCGACCAATCGCCAAACACCATTACTTGTGGTATGCCACTTCCAATTCCGCCCATATCACTGTACATCAGGCTAACTTGAACAAAATAGATGTATATCAGTGGAGAAGGTCTAGAATGACTTAGGCAATGATCAGAAGGAGACTTGGATGGCCACATACTGGGTAAATGAATAGACTCTATGGATTTCTCGTAAAAGATTCAGTTTTCAGCCGCTAAGCGAAGTCAATGTTAGCCGAAAGCTTGAGAGTTGTCTAATAATTCCCAGTCAGGTTGAGAGAGATCTGTATTTCTCAGCATTTGGCGTAAAATGCCTTCACTTATAGGATGAAATATCGATAGAAATAAATCGCCTCATTCTACTGATACAACGAAATGGGATAGGAATTTTTCACAAAGAAGATGCACCATTGCTTTGGGACACCTTGGTGAAAATCGATTCGCCCTTGGTCGAGATTCTCTAGTGAGTTTACAAGAGGAGTCATCTGAGCATTTTGGTTGCGACCTACTAACACAAATTTGCTGAATAATTTCCACATTGTTTTGACACTTTATTTCGGGGAAGTTGAAGTCCGCAACGCTACCAACCTCTCGCATTCAAGCCGTCTTTGGTCATGCTTTCGCAGAGACACTGAATGGAAATGGTGGCGATTACAATGAGATCAGGAAGTGAGCAGTCTGACAGTGTCTGACATGATTAAGCTGACTAAACTGTATGAAATGAACATCGTATTCATTGTTTTTACGAATGTGGAAAACTCACATGGCCCCAGTAATCAGGTTGGTTAGATCTTTTGTTAGTTTCGCATGTTCTGGTCTCCTCATCTAAATTATTGTACAAAAATCGTCATGAGGTATAACACGGAGTTGTGATAGCTCAAATTCAGTCAGTCCCAGAGTGACATGGATTGGAGGGAGGTGTAAACTGGTCTTCCGTTGAATAATATGTCCGGTTTTTCCTTCAGGTTGCTGGAATCTCTTTGACAGCCACCGTTCGTTTTGGCTCACCAAGTAAGCACGGTCCTTGGTCTTAAGTTATGCATGACCCCAAAAATTAGTCTTGGTTGCAGAAAAGCTTGGCAAACAGTTGATGGACTAACTTCCAGACAGCGCTTGATTTTGAGGCAAAGTTTTCGTCAACGAGTGTTACCAGATAAATTTTCAGGTGAACAGGTAATTAGCAGGTGGGAGCACCAACAGATGGAGAAAAAAATCGATGCTGAATGTCGGTTAAAAGTTCTGATCGCGTCATGCTGGAGGTAACTTAGTTGGGAACGCTAACCTCAGTGTCAACACTGGGGTCCCGTTTTTACCTTTCAAAGCACAAGATTTGTAGGTATATGCAGGTCAGTAATTGATAGAGTAAGTCGATGGAGATTAGATGGATGTCCAACGATACTTTACCAAAACGGTGACTATATCGATCCTAAACGTCTATGTCAGTTAGTAGATGAACCACTATGAAAATACCTCCTCTTCCCTCATGCACGCTACCAGTGTAACGGTGGATACTACTGATGAGGCATGCGAGTAGAGCCTTCTCATCAGTGCTACTTACCTTTTGGTTTCAGTACACACAGCTAAAGCCATTGCTGATAGATTGAGGTTGAAATCTGTCGGTTTCATCGACCGAGTCACGGCATCAACCAACTCAAGTGGTGGGGTTCCCAGATCAGTAATGAATCCATCATTCTCTATTGCCTGGCTCCGCAGGTAACTGAAATAAAAAGAGATGAAGACGTTTCAACGTTTTTAGAGTTATCAGGTAGTGGTTAAGTTCCAACTGCGAAAGATTCGTTTATGCCGGACTGACGTCCTTCAGCCACACAGCTGCTAGGAACCCTAGTTTTAATTTCTGATAACAGCTGAGTCAACAATACAAAAGTGTGCACTTCAAGTCATGTTAACTTTGCTCATCGATCAGTACTGACGTAGGCGTCTCCGCTGCCCAAGTGATCGATGTTACGATTGAAATCATTCGTCAGCTTTTTTTAATGGCATCTACACTGCTCAAGCTCATCGTGAAAAGTTTATGACTGTTTTTTTTCCACGTGTAAACATTCGGACCACCATGTGCTTGGCACGAGCTGCTTGCGAACGGGCGTGGCGAAATTATCGGGTCACTTAATTGGCACTTCAGCGTAGTGACAGAACAACATCACCAGTGTGGTACGCTTGTTGTGAGAAGGCCGATAAACAAACACGTTCACTTGGTCGATGGTTGGCTGGGGCTCCACTAAAGTAACTCGTTGTTCGGTTCCGCTGCCTTAGGAGTGAAAGCCACTGCACAAGTCAGCAAAAGACAGTAAGTTTATCGACTGCTGCACGTCACAGAAAATTAAAAATGTATACAAACTTTTTTAGCATGTTTTACTGACAGACTTTCTCCTGGATGTGAATTCAATCCGACCTAGAAGATGGAGGTGAACAGTGCTTAGCAGTGAGATCAATCAGTAAAATTTGATCAGTTTTCATTTCCAATTATATGTCACAACACAAATGTCGGTTTTTTGCCGAGCTGGACAGGTTGATTGAAACCGGAATACCAATCTCAGCGAACAAACGAAAAACGACCTAGAAGGGCATAGAGTCTTGCGACAAACAAGTTGGTTGTATGTACCATTGAGGAGATTGCTGGTAGCCTCTGTACTGCAGGTTGTTCTTACAAAGTTATCCTCAGATAGGCGACCATAAAAAGGTCCTGAATCGAACATTCGGCATATTGTGAGGATGGAACTTGAGGATGCCTGATGAACATTCCCGGAACTGCCGGTCAAACATAGTCGAGACAGTTCTTCAATTTAAACTGCTGTTTCATTCTGTAAACTCTTAGATATGAATCTTCATGCCGTTGGAAGACATTCAGTATGTGAGGCCCAAATACTCCATTCTGAAAAACCCCCAAAACCGTTTCAATTTTTAGCGAAATACACTCATTTGCAAGCAAATGTGGTTTTGCGAGGGACTCATCCGGAACACAGCTGAACCTCTCGTTTGTGATGTTTCCAGTTTCAGTTTTTCGTTTTTTTTACGGTATTTACGTCTTCTTTGAACATTTCCCATCTATGTATTGCAACATGTCACCGTACAACCGCGTGGCTAATTACTTAACTGGGGAAATGTACATGGACATTACAACCGGTCGTTATTCGTTAGCATGTTTTTCATCATCATACTCGGTTGTCTGTCTGAGGTCTACGGAATCTAACTAGCCATCTGGCAAGATGTATACCATGGAGACTAGATAGCTGCCAAGGACTGTGAATAACTTACACAATGTGGCCATCAAAAGTGGTTCTAAACAGTAGTATGGAATCTCAAATAATTGGTTTGTTCGCTGAGCTGGGCAAACTGATTGCATTATTTCCGCTAAAGTGACCACGTCATGGTCATTCAACAGTATCTTTCTTGACTTTTTGGGCTGGTGATTTATATCTAATAGGCGTTACCGAATTACGCCGTGGTAAGTCTATTATTGGGTTGCCAATAATACCAATACCAGGAATCCTCATAACCCTATTCGGCTTACTAGGTCCGCCAACGAGAGGATCGGTGGACTGGTATGGAGTCGTGCCTGTTATCTACGCAAATATGATTTCCCGCTTGAAAAAGTTGGTAACAACGATGTATGAAGATTTCAAAACCATTGCGTTGCGTCGCACGGTCAACTAAGTTCAACTAATGAGTGTCAGCTTTGGAAATCATATGTGTAGGTACAGCAAGTTTGCAGTGACGTCGTGGAAGTCAGCTTTCTTAGTGAAGTTGTGCTGACCAATCGCCACGTCGGGGGTCCAAAGGATTAGATGATGGTAAGCTGTAACACACTTTCGGTGCCTAGCTGCTTTCCACACAAAGGAAGCACGAAGGCTGGGGTAGATGCCTCAAGGGGCATCGACAGGGTGTATATGGTAAGCAATCTGGAAATCAGAATGCTCGTTAGCTTCGGGGAGGGGTCGTTTTTGGGGTTTCACTTCCAGTGAGACTACTGTGGCCATTGTAGTATCGTTTACGGGTGCTCCATTTTACTGAAACGAGTATCCGCTTGCTGTTGGAAATCCGCCAACAAATCTATCGGTTAGTTTCCCAAGATAACGGATGATGTGAAATGTTGTAAATCCAGTTTTTATGCGGAGTATGCTGTTTTGAACTTAAACCGGGAAAACCAACCGAGTACATCCCCCGAAGTTTTACAGTTAATCTTAAGTATTGATTCGCTACGGACGCGTTTCTTGGGACCAAACCAGATGAGTGACGAGGGTAAGAGTACCCTTTAAGCTGACCTTGACAACCGGCTCATAGATCGAATGTGGATTTACCGCGTTTTTGAGAAACTTCCAGTTTGAAGAAGATCCGTCGCGGTTCACTTAAAGTACCCACAAAGTTTAGACATTTTATTCGGCTTGAGAGCAAATCAAATTGACTCGAGATATCCTGAAGTAGTTTCGATGTCCACTGCGTTAGTACGAAGTAGTCATAGTGGCATCCTATGAACTCTTTCCGTGGGATTTTGTACTCTAAACTGTCCGTTAAAGAAAGATATTTCTCATCCACAAACACCAAACTGGTTACACAGTGTCTTGTAGCGAAATATGAACAGTTTTCTAGAGATGGGACACTGTGTATGTGTCGAAATTGTTATTTCGGAAAGGCAATAGAGCAAAGCTTCGGATGATCGAATAACCGATCTGAAATGATTTTCAATCGAGGGGATATAATGTCATAAGTGTATCGTAAATTCCGCACAAATATTCCCAACAGTGGACGTCATCATGCGCGCATCAACATGTGAAAATCACCGCCCTTCAGTTAAAGACTCGAAGCTAAAGTTATGTCCTCTTATCTTATCACCTTGTCTTATTAAAGTCGTCGTGACTTATTTATATAAACTCATCTCTTCTTAACGTAGATCAGTGTTTGGGTGGGGTTGACCGATGTGACGGCAAACGCAGCTAAGATCACAGAATCTTTCGCAATCGATCGTAATTACAACGAAACCTGGAAACAAAGACTGTATGTTTAATGTAATGCTTCAAATGAAATTTAAAACTACTGGATTTACATACACTATCGTCCTCAGCTTCAGGAAATTATTTTAACTCCTTCACATTTCGATAAAATCCAAGTTATTTTGATTAGAAACGTGGGGTGCTTTGTCATCCATTGATATGTTTTCCTTTGGCACGTCAAAATTAGGCTCAATTACCCCAATTAATGCATCGTGAAAATGTCACACTGGTTGATTTGTTTGTGAGAAACAAAGGAAAAAACAAAATCTTGCTTTTCCGTGATCTTTCTTTAAAGCTGGAAAGACCACCACCCCATGCGGCTTTCACAAATGCCACCCAAAAATAATTTTATCGGCCTCTTTGTCTCCGCAAAGGTTGTGATTTGATGGGCAAATTAGACAGTGTGGTGCACAGCATGCATCTGTACACCAACACAGCCCAACACTCAGATGATCAGTACACGGGAGGTTGTAACTAGCTCAAAGAGGCAAGTGGCGATGGATATGCACGATGAATCACGTGAATAAATTCGCAACCTTGTCGTCGTAGCAGCTGTCATAGGCGAGAACAATGAGAATGATATGTTTACTGTCAACTCACCACAGCTACTGTTATTATTATCATCAGTGGTAGTGGTGTTTTCTTGAACTACTTTCACGGTTTCGTGGTATTGCCCTTTTTCATGTAGGCCTGTGTTTGACACATTTGAAACACATGAGGTCATCTTGGTTGAAGGTTCAAATTTGTAATAAAATAGCTGTAGACACTACAAACCACTCAAAGACATCAAGTTGGCTTTGTCTGGTGAAGTACAAGAGGGTTACTCGAAGACCAGATCACCGTTGAAAACGTCTCAATGGCATGCTAAAACACACCTCACGTAAACATTATACGGAGATTTCTTGTGATATACAAATTTTCTGCCTCACGTGCCCAAGAGGGATCGCATCGTCAGTACGAAGTTGGGTGGATGGCTCCTGTTTGCCTGCGTGCGTTTAGACAGCAATTGAAGACTATCGGTTATCTCTCAGCATGATTGGCTAGTTGGGTGACAGCGTTCTTCGTGAATTTATTGGACCGTTCGTGATATTTGCCGCGTTGCGGTTTGCGTACCTTCAAGTCGATTGGTCATCCCGATGCCTCCTATTTTCAGGAGTATCCTGCTCCGTTTTGATCGGCTCCCTACTTTGTAGTCTGATTATTTTTGGGAGTGACTGGCTTGCTGCATCGCCCTATTTCCTCCATTATGCGGACTGGCATCCTTGCGTCTGTCGGTTAATTTGGTACGTTGGTTTATCTACTGGGGGCCTCCTCCAATCCAAGTGATGTGTTCGTTTGGATCAGAATCACCAGATTGTTTTTACGGGTCATTCGTCTGGTTGCTTGTGCAATGCAAAGGTACGTGATCCTTGCGTTCTCTTGCTCTTAGCTGTTGATAAATAGGGTCGAGTCCAATATGATTGTTGACAGCTCCTTTGGTGGAGTATCACGCTTCCATAAATTCACGTTATGGCAGTGAACAGTAGGTGTTGAACACTAATGCGATGCTGTCGATGATGATGATGATGATGATGATGGTGAAATTCATGTTCCTTCTGCGTTCTCGCTTGGGCCAAAGTTACTCCAGTCAAACTCATGTTCTTCTAGACCTTTGTGCATCAGGATGAGATGGAATTGGTCGTGTCTTTTGTAGCAAGCTTATGTTAATCTATTCCACCAGATACTGAGCGTAGCCTTTTCCCCCTTCTGGAAAGCTACCCTTTTGTTGGCTAAGTTCACTAGTCTTCGAATAACCCCCGATATTCCTGTTTCATATAGACTAACTGCTGTGTCAATCCATTCCTTACTTGATCTGGATATCGGAGCCAATAGCCTCCTAAATAGCCGCGTAATCAAACTCATTGGGTATCCAATTTCTTGAAGTCTGTTAGCAATCCCGATTTGAGCCGCTGTTCGCTTGATCTCTTCTGTGCACAGCGCTCTGACTCGACGAAACATCGATGAGACAATACTGGCGTACACGGACTTTTGGTGTACTGATGAGCAGTTTAAGACGGTTTCTGTGTCTTCTGGTTTCTTTTAGATAGTGGTTTTTAATTTTCCGTCACCCTTATGTGTTATACAGTCCAGGAAGGGCAACTGCCCGAGTAGCTGTCTCGAGTGCACAGAAGAGATCGAGCGAACAGAGCAGCTCAATGAAGATTGCCAACAGACTTCAAGAAATTGGGTAGCTAATGAGTTTGACTATGCGGCTCTTTAGAAGGATATTGGCTCCAATATCCATATCCAGTAAGGAATGCATTGGCATAGCAGTCATTCCGTATGAAGAAGGGATACCGGAGGTTATTCGAAGACTGCTGAACTTAGCCAACAAAAGGATAGCTTTCCAGAGGGGGGTAACGCCACGCTCCGTTTAGGTGCGATTGAAAGACCCCCTCCCGGTTGAAATGACTAGGGGCTGTGTGCATAAAATTGACTGCAAAGACTGCACTAGGGTTTACATGGGACAAACTGTTAGTGTGCAATGACGTAGTCTGCTCGTATGGTGGCAAAACGTTTGCAAGTCAACTGCCAAGCTCGGCGAACAGATCAACAACCATCTGATCAGCAACGAATAAACTCACCCGGGCTACCAATATTTCGATACATTGCCAGGTGATTGTACACCAAAATTGGTGAGCATAAAAGGAGGATAAACAAGCCACCAAGGAATGTAGAAGAATACCCAACGCTGATCAAAGACTCAGCGATGACGGTACATGCATTAGACACAGGATATATGATAGATGTGGAGAATGTGGAACTTTTAAGTTGGGGTCTGCGATTCACACCATAGCCGCTGTTGGCCCAGGCGGTGAAAATTACTACGTACCACAGTATGAGTAGAATCGAGGGTGTGGAACTGGCGAGCGGTGTCAGATAAGCCAAGTTGACAAGTGACTGTGTGTGGCTGTCAATACACGTAGAATCACTAGCAAAAACAGGTGGTGGAAAACCCAACCCCTATCGTAACACTAGCTCATCGGCGTTCAGGGGGAACATCACGTGAACCAGAAGCACTAGACCGTAAGTTAGCCCCAAATCCATTTAGGTTACCCCATCAACCTAACACTTGGTGACACACCCTAATGCACAGAATACCTTGGCCATTACCCAACGCAGATTTAGCTTGACTTAGCTGATCGGTCCTCCTTCTGCCTTAAGTCTCGACAAGCATCGTAAACTAGTCACTCGGTTTGACATTGCTTTTTTGTCAAAAGCAAAACACTGCCAAGCAATAAATCTACCTATTGTTACCAAACTTCTCCGGAAACGATAACTACTCAATCGATTCCGAGCGCTTTTCAGTTGGCTGGAGGTTACTCCCTATTTCACCTAATCGGTTTTGGTGCTTAGTAGGAGTAGCCAGAAATAAGTTAATGATTCTCTTAAATCTGAACCTATTTGGGGACACCGTTGCGAAACGATCAAGGTAATAGAGGAAAGGACAGACTGAATATAGTCAGTCATTCACTTAGCACAAAACATTCTAACCGTACACGCCATTAAGGAGGACTGTGACCATAATTTATCCGTTCTGTACACAATATAGGGTTCCAACAGGCAGAAAGTATTTATACCGGGTTTCTCGGTTTCTGAACTTGAGATGTTTTCACCCGGTAAATAAAGTCGACAAAAATTGCTCTGCTCTCGGCTGTTTCGTGCTGAGACAATACAGATCGGATAAAAGATTATTCACTCGACACTCGGGTCACTGTTTTCAGGCAAATTTTATTTCTGTTGTTATTCAGAACTAATGTCCATTCAAAACAGAAAAATTGTTGAAATTCGAAGGCGATCTTTAGTGATGTGTGCTGGAATCGAGGGTTTTATTACGCAGGCAGCTCAACGAGGGAATAACGTACTGCTCATGTCAATCTCTCCTAGACTGAACAGCAAACTGGAGTCACCGGGCATCTTCATAACTGAGATTTCAAGGCAAATCATCGAGAAATCTCCTCTAAGAACATTTTAAAAGTAAATGTAATTAACTAAACGAACAGCTAGTTCTTCTTAGATGGACATGTTGAATGCCAGATGGAGGTTTCGTGTTCATTGACGGGACGGGGAAATCATGCTTAGATTTCAACGAAGCGTTTTACACAAATCCTGAAAGGGTTTGCTTGAGGGCTGTGGAATTTCTAAAGTTAGTCTGAAATCGGTTTAGTAAGTCAAAAATAAACAAAGACAAAAAATTAAGCCTTTCAAGGTTTCGGCATATTACTTCACCATGTCGGGCCCCTGGGCAACGAGAAGAATGAACAGCTTAGACCATCCTATTCCCTGAAGAAAGTATTATGGCATAGAATGTATGTCCCAGTGACATTTATACTGACCTCAACGGCTGTACACTCTGATAAATGCCACTTGCGTGCTGTCATGATTCCGAGTGCGTAGCCGATGAGACCGAACAAAATGTTGCAACATATATCCTATGTCATTATACTGGTTTACTGTCAAAAATAACATTATTTCAATTGACAATGCGAAAAATCGCTTTTTATTCTGTCCAAAAATAGTCGCCCTATAAGTCTTACTTTCTAAACGATCTGAAGTGATATACCGACAATTGGAATCTGAGGTTTCCAGTAGATAAATGGGAGTTTTAAATCACGAAACTATTTTAAGGACCACTTTTCTGGTTAGAGCGTAACATCAGGACAGCAAATTTCCCGGGCCAGCATTCTTAGTAATTGTAGTTTCTCTCAAGTTTCAGACAGCCAATGACCTAAGCAGTGAGGAATACCGTGTGATTTGCCCGAATGCAGAGAAAGATTACACTGTTTTTGCAGGAATATGAATGAATTATGGCTAGTTGTCATGTTGTACTAAATCACGGAACTCAGCTTAGGATCGTTCACATCAAATGATGGGTTTTCAAATCTATGTGATATGAACCAACAACGTTCAAGGGTGATATGGATGTCCAGTTGAGTCTACGTATTCCGGATTGAAACTGAAGTGTGTTGCTCTCTTTTGCGACTTGAGTCTGACAATGACTTAAAGTAGTCTTGGACGGGTTTTTCTGTAGTGCTTCCCCAAACGAAGGAATCCAAGAGAGAAGTGACCGCCCAGTCAGAATAACTGATTAATGATAAAGAGGAGGGTGGCCTACCAGTAAACCTATCATCATCTTCGCTTGACCTTATGTCTTGCTTTCATCATTTACAAGATCAATGGACCAGCATGACATTTTTGGAAGCTTATAAACTCTGGGCAGTGTAACTTGCTAGGCTGAATTAGCTGGCAGACGACTCAGCTAACCCATATGGTTCCACTTTGTATCAGCTTAGTGAGTATTGAATAAAGTGGATCAAAAGTGATTTCGTGGCTTCGTACACATAGTTTTCTGTGCAGCAGTTCCACAGTGCCTGTTAGGACCTAACCACACTGTGTATCCACTTTGTAGGATATCGATATCCAGTCCAACAATAGCATGGAAGTGGCGTACAGCCGGTATCCCGCGAATACCTACTCCGTCTGCCCTGGTCTATCCGCGTATTCCTCAGCAAGCTGTTGTCCACGCTTACGTCCACCATGTCCGTTGGTTCACAAATGATTCCAACATACTTGTTGAAATCTTCTGCTTTTCTTGTTGTAGATGGTGCGAACAAAGCATGTCTATAAACCGATGCCGGAAGGAACTACGTGAATCGGTGGACACCAGGCCGCTTGAAGTGCAGGCAGTTAAGGGACGAGTACTTTGAAACCCGAGAAAATCTGTCTCGCAAGCATGACCCTGAGAAAAACGTTGCATCTGTGTAGGTGTGTTACGAAAACCAAAACGAGGGACGACTTCCTGCGAATTATCCGCTATAAATAGTACGGGTTTTATGATTTTCAACAACTAAAAGAGGGAGTAAATCGCAGGTTTGAAATTCTCGTGGAATATTTGGGCTCTACGAACCTTGCATTGGCTAGTCCAGAAACGTTTTTCGCACGTTCATATCACTGTCGTTTGACCAGCCCCCCTGTCCAGGAGGAATTATTCTGGTGAACCCATCCCAAAGGGATATCAACTGGACTTGGGTTCCGCTCAAAAAACACCCAATAGCCAGTTCACATCCTTGAGAGTATGGGAGCCTGAACTCCATGCTTTTGACACGCGAGCCCATCAGTGCACACTTGGCACACCTGATTCATCACGTCTGAACAGGTGAACGTCTTCACACTTGAGTTATATTATTGGTTCACCCGACGGCGAAAGTGTGCATCACTGATGAGATCCAATAGGAGCACAAAACCGAGTCCATTATTCCTTACCTTTGGTAGAAACTCACCGGAATAATTACAATAGGACACGAGCATGGCCGGTCAAACGAGAGTGATGTGAACGTGAATTCTACGAATCCCGTAACCATGTTTGTCTCTATCAACTTCACAGTCAGCAAGCGTCTCGTTTAACTGCAACGAGATTTCAACCCTCCAACAGGAACACGTGACCTAGCTATTCCCTTTTTGCATTTATGGCTGGCACACAAACAGACCCCAAAATGTGGTGGTGTTTCTATAAGTTCTACTCAGCTCAGTTCAGTAAACTTACGTCTGCTTCGTATAAATTTTGAAAAATATGAACACGAATTGTGACGAACTGAAACGCATTGTGAAATTGGATGAAATTCAGAAACTCACATATAAGCTGTCAGAATGTCCTTCATAGCTTGTCGTGTTACTTTGCATTCAATGTCCATTCTTTCTACAACGTTCAGTAGTTGAGCTTCTCGCACTTTGTTTGCCGCATTCATTTCGGTCAGCAGGTGGCGTATGTAACGGCGTAGGCCGTGCGCCGCCCGATCAGCTACCACCTGATCGTCAGACTTGACGGACTCGACCAAATGCTGGGAGGAGGCAACAGAAAGGGATCAAATCATCAAAGTGAAATCGTGAGGCTTAACTTTCGCTTTTACGAATACGTGACATGGGCGCTTGCCTCCACCTGTGGAAGGCAAGTAGCCATCTGACGGCTACTGTGAGCTCGAGGCAACTTAATGAAGTCCCACAAGTTGACTTTGTGAGTAAAATAAAGTAACACAGGTTTTTTAACCACATCGTCAGAACAAGTGGGAAGTAGTAGTGATCTTCCTACAATAAAGGGGTCGCGTCGCGGCTCTTTTTGAAATGTAATCTCGTCTTGGTCAATGTTAGACTTTCAACTTTAATGTCCTCACAAGATATAATTAGTCGTTGAAACAATTCCAATGTGCTAGCGAAACAATGAAATCACAAGATGCGTTGAAGAACATCGGATAAGCTCAGCGTTTCCCGTAATGAATACCCAACAATGACGCAAAATGTTCAACAAACTTCATGGAACAGCGGTTTTCAGGTGCAAAACTAACTGCCCTTTTGGTTGTCGTACACCTGTTACTGATAAATCATTCAGTTGAACACAGCAGATGATGGACCAAAGCTTTCTGTGCTCAGAAGTTTCGTCAACCCATCACTTACATATGCAAAAGAATGGTTACTTCAATTCGTCAAATTATTTTTTTCATTTCAAACCTTGTTACGTCATAAATCAGCATATGGTCAGTGTGAAGGATATGCTAGCATTTCAATGCCCCTATATTTTGTCTCCAATCCTATCACGCATGGCCAGTTAATCGGACTCACAGTAATTCCATTGATGTGGTAGACCAGCCTCCCACGAAAGTGATCCAGGAACCGGGCAAACATCTTTTTCGACTGCTCTGAATCTTGATGAGCTTTATCTCGTTCAACTTTCAGCACCACAATTTGCTACAAACGGGGATAAAAAGCGATCAGATACAAGGTCCATTTTGACATGACTGAATGGATTTTAATAATACGAAGCTTTTTTTAGCCTCAAAAGCTTTGGTAAATCGTTAACAAGGTGAAGTACAAAGGTGAAACAAAATACATCACTGGGATTAGGATATCGAATAGATCTTGGATTCAATACATCAACTGTGCCGCCCGATTTAGAAAGCATCAAGATTGGGATGATTGATTTACAAATGTCACCTGTTCACGGATTTCGAGTTACCTCAAAATGGACCAACACGTTTTATTAGGCACCATACCCTGAATTTGAAATTTGCTCTCCCTTGGAGCTACGATGCCTCAACAAGTCATATTCACCCATGTTCTGGCTTGGGTTTGCTGATAAACTGATGCAATCTAGGCTAAGTACAGTCCACGAAGACGTGGGAGAGAATTATCGAAGGTTTTCTAGGTTCGAGAAGCATTTCAAAGGCGTGCTTCTAAACGTCAGGAAATTGTTTCTTTTCATTCGGTGTTTTAGAGCAGTCTGTAAATCCTTAAGTGATGGTTCCTATCGATGTTTATTTGAGAGCAAAAAGTTAAATCCCAAAGCGTTAAAAATGAGCTATCGAAATACTTTATCATTCGAAGAAAAGGCTACCGGGGCTGTTAGGAAGGTGTTAAATCTCGGTTGGATGAACAAGCTTTAAGGAAGGGGGAAGATACTCTGGACATACCCACGAATAAAGTGTGTCTTAATATAAGCAGGCACTCAACTTCTTTCAAATTTGGCAGAAAAATTAATATCGCTTTATCTAAATTGTCAAACGCGATCACAGTGAGTAAGTTGTGCAAAAGACCTTCTTCATTCGTCTCAGAAATTAGACAGTAGTTGTTGTTGGGGAACTTTGCATGCATATGCCAAACATCATGCAAACATCATGAGACCAAGGTGCATGTTGAGTAGTGTGGTTCTCTCTGTGAGACACTTGTAAGGCACGCGCCCGCTGTATTTATCGACCAGAATGTTTCCTTGAACGATTCACGGGAACCTACCGTCTTCTAGAACTATTGTAAACGTCAAGAAAGCTCATATATCTACTTTGGAAAAGAAACAAATATTTCCCTCTGAAACATATTGAAAATGTATGATACATACTCATGTCGATTTTTCTAGTTAAGCTACTACACATCTGTTGCGGATATTTCATCTTTTCAGCGTGATGGCGATGAAAACGCGTTTCACCAAGATGTCAACCGACATCCAGGTCACTCAGTTGATAAGTCACAGTCTGGAAGAGGCGCGCAGCAGACGCCCTCCACTAGTGGTCACATTCGGCCTCTAAAATTACTATCTTCTGGTTCAGGAATCGTTGAAATGGTTCTCATCTGGCATTCCAGAAGAATCGCAAAATGGGCAAAAACTCATCTCACTGCTAACAGACAGTTAACTTTGTTGACAAGTGCTTCGAGTCAGTTAAAATTGGGAACCGCATGCATTACTGCTTCACGTTTTGCAATATACTATTGATAAGACAATGTACGGGGCAGTTATTTCTGAATAAATTATTTCAAAACTCACTGATTGCAGCTCTGAATTCTTCATTAACTTGGTTTGCTTTTCCCGACGCGTTTTGGGTATGAGGTCCCTGGAACATACAAACAACATTGTGGTGATGGCGGCTTGAGACGAGCAAGTCGACAAATCACGTGGGCTGTACCCTGGAATGTCCTCCCTTTCTTAACAGACATGCGAACAGACAGACTATATAGAATGCGTGAAAGCCAAAGGCTGTGGTGCACATACAAGGAAATATTCCAGACGACCGTCATTGAGTAATCTCAGCTTTTAATTAGGATTAATTACCTGTCGACTAATGGAACTTAACTGCACTGCCATCGGAACCGTTCGATTTTACTGAGAAACAAACGACGTTGTTGTTATATGTTCAACTGAAATTTTGCGGGAGCGCAACCATTATGGCACCGAGATGGTCAATTACAATCTGGAAAATTTCCGTTTAAAAACAAAATTATTGATTTCGATTTTCTTCAAGTGACAACGCACATGTTTTGAATCAGGTTGTCCAACTATGGAGAGCTGAAAAAATCTTGCGAATCGACCGTCAGCAAAAGGATCGGATGGAATGAATCAAAGGAATTGGACAGAGTTATCTTTAGACCGTGTGTCCATGGGTATTCGGAAACAAGTATAACTGAGACTTCAGTTGAGTGACTTAGTTATTTGTTGCACCGAAAATCGGTTGATACTTTGTGCATTAGCCAAGCAAATTGGGTGCACTGGTAATAAATGCACTGATGACGGTGTTTTTGAAGACAATATAACATCCGTAAATCATAAGGCTGGTTTAAAAAACCGTGGTTTTTTTAAATAGTTCGATTTCCGGAAGAAAGTATCTTTTTGAGAACAAATAGAGGTAGAGACCAGCACAATCAAAATTACACCATCATTTTCTGGTGTAATCGTCTGGGACTGGCTAATTGTGGTGTGCAAAGTTGGTTTGCACACAGTAGCGTTTTCAGCATTTTACCGGAATATCTTGTACTGACGGCATTTTAAATGTTGAATAATTCAGACATCCAATCAATCTGAGGCTATTCAGATGTGCTTTGAGCATGGCGTACATTCCTTCTATTAATAATTAATTAATTTAATTAATTATTAATTAGGAAAGCAATAACTCTGCTGAGGTCTGTAGTCAAGTATTCCGCTCACCAACGTTAATCTTCTCCAGGAATTTAGCTGTCAAGTTTTGTCTATAGTAAGCCAATACAGATATCACATGCAGGAGGATTCAAGTGGTTCCGTTGATCGATAATTGGTGATGTACCTTCAGAGGACTGAAGTGCTCCATATTTACCACCAACAACCCGTGTGCGATGAATCTTTCGAAAGAAATTTCAACGGTACTCATGTCAGCCACAACGATGTTTCCTAAATGGACAGCAGATACTCACAATCCGATGGGGAAGATGGCTGGAAAATCCATCAGTCTTTTTTAGCTGATTCCTGTTTGGACCCGTTGTCAAATAGAGCAAGAGAAGGAGTTCCGAAGAAAACCCTGCTAACGAACGGTTGAGAGAAGCGCAGCTATGTCTGCACAAATGTCAACCTAGGCTCTTCAGTCTATCTGCCTTTCATCTAATGTACGAGTCCTTATATATCTGCAGAGGTTACACAGGCAGTGCCGAAGAATATCTAGTGGAATTCAAGCCTTCGATAGAGTCATCAATGCTGACACTGGTATCCATCTTCAAATGTCGGTGCTTCGCTGTCATACACTCTTGTTGCTTTGTGTTAGAACAGCTCGCTCACGAAAAGAATACCAAGATGGAAAAAGTTTGACGAATCTAGCAATAAGTTGAATCTAGCCAGGTTCAAGCTGAGTCAAACCCGATAGCATTTGCTTTTTTGTCTCGTCTTCGTTTCCCTCTTTTATGGTGGAGCCATAGTGACTGGGAATTTATGCTTATCGGAAATAACTTGTGATTTTGTAAGTTCCTCACCTAAAAACAGTTATCCAGTGTTCTAATATATAATTAAAAAATCACGAAAAATATGTCATTTTAAAAATTAGAGGACATTATTAATGCTCAGCCAAACTTTGGTCCCCGAATAGTACAATTCTATGTTGAGGACGAGTCCATCCAGCCCTAAGCAATTTGTCATCTGCATGGTAGATAATGATGGTTGAGTTGGACTTAAGCATATCTTCACAAAGTTTTCTTCATCAGACCAGATGATTTCATCAGTGTGTCGCGGGTCACCGGTGCGTTGTATGTGGCTGTTCAGGGAGTGGACCATGTTGCATTTGTATGCACTTGGGTTCTGCTAGTCGGAGAGTGAAGTTTTGATGGTCAGGACTGAAGTCACGTGAATCAACTACTACAAAAGGGCTGACAGATGACGTTGGTTGTTGGAAAATCGGTCCAGGCTGAGAAAGATGGCAAGATCGAGAGTTATCCAGAGAACAAGTTAACCAAACAACTACTAGTTTCACTATTCTGCCCTAAAGGTGCAACATGATGTGGTCCCGGCAATACAAAGCAAGTAGATAGGGTTTGTCGAGAGCGGGAAAACCAACATTTACACATAACAATTAGATGCTTGACAAAGCTGTAGGTTCCCTACATTAACCGAAATAATGCACCGGAAAGTGCATAATGTACACAGCGAACAGCAATCGCTATTTGGCTGGGAAATTCACTCGCCGATTTGTCGATTACCAGTTCGAGTGATCATAATAAACAGCTGATTTTACAGTCATTCTACCCGTTACACTACTGGTTACTTTGGTGGTTCATGATTGGGTTGCTGTGCGTCCAGATGATTTTTCAACTCGATTCACCAAGTTTGATGTTTCCATTTGGTTAGTTCGTCTGACACTCGATTCCGTAAGAATTCGCTCAAAGTGAACTGATGATCTGCGCTGCAGTGAGCAGACTTGGTCCAGTTCAAAGTAACGAATTAGGACACATTCTGTTTAAGCCGTGAGAATGAAAAAATACTCTGGCATAGTACTTTGAATAAATCGAATATCTAGACGAAAAGCACGCTGCGGTCACGTACATGCCACTGATCAAATTCGATGAGGTTCACCGTGAATCGTGACCTGTTTCAGCAATGCTAGCTTAACTGCCTATTGTAACTAACTACTGACCAATGTATCTTCACTTTTATGGTAGTAGGCAACTCAGTATTGGAGCTGATGGAATTTCTGCAAAAGGTACAGGATTGCAGTGGAAGACCGATGAGAGTGATGTACTAAATTATCGACCGATTTCGTTGGATGAGTTTTTGCTGACACAGATTTCCAGCTTCTCGTCCAGCAACAGCGGTGCGCAGTGCGCTAAACCACAGAAACTCAAGGTCACTCACTATAGTCGTTTATTTTATCCCAAATCAACTCATCTCTAGTAGACTTTCCGTTGTATATGATAACTTTCTCTTGAGAGGATCCACCTACCTACTTTCTTTTTAGAATTTAATTTTAAAAATCTTCAGAACGCCATAGGATTGCCTACAAATTTTTGAACTTGTCGAACGTAACGGGCGATATCTCGACCAACTTTTGACAGAAAATCATGATCTTTCCTACTTGTTTGCATTCACCGGCTTATCATTCTTCATATTTTCATTCTGTTCATCCTTTTCCAACGGTTTCAAACCACGTGGCTGAAATATAGAGAGAACGCGAAGTGGTTAGTACGATCGGTTTTAGTATTACAAACTGGCGGGTGTTCATGTGAACATTAATGCGACTACTTGGGTGCTATGATGTACAAAATTATTGAAGCTGTGATCACATGAGTAATAAAGCACTCCGCAGTTTTTTTGGATCACAGTGTTCCAGACAGCCCTTACCAGGCACAGTACACTATTGCCTGTTTTCAGATCACCATCCTTTGTTCTTCAAAGGTGAAACGCTTCCCACAGTTAGAGAAAAGGTGCGATGAATGCTGAGGTACACTCATCCTGGAACCCTAATAAAATATGTGATATGCCTCCCAATGATGTTAATGCGCTCTTGTTGGCTTTCCGTAGCGAAACTACGGTATTGGAAAGTGGCAAACTAACAAACTAAACTAATATATATATAATTATAGTCGACGTCGCTTTTCATTTCCTCACACAGAATGTTTGGCGAATATTCTTCGTATTCGTATTTGTAGCCACTAAGTGGTGTTTGGTAACTTTCGGTGTCACAAGAGCCAAAAACTAAAGATTTTGACAGAAATGAGTCGGGCATACCAATCACATCGTTCAAGCGTGAGCATGTTCGCTCGTTCGGACGTGAGAATCGAGATGCGTCCAATGTGTGCTGGCGAAATAGTGGTAACCTATTCATCTCGCATGTCAGGTGTCCGGATTTCAAACCCCGGCACAAGCACTGGATATGCACTGCTGATGAGCTCTAATAAGAGCGAAACTCGAGTCCATTGCTTCCCTCTCTTTGGTGTGTGTGGACTAACCAAAATAATTGCGCCAGGACTCTCGCTCAAACGAGAGTGATGTGAAGGTGAGAAATGAGACTGTCGAGGAGATAAGAAGTGAATCGAAAGAGAACCAGTCAAGTTCACGAGCACATACCATGTTCATTTGGAGCGTTTTTTGGAAGAATCTGCAATGGAGTGTAGGTTGCTGAGTGTCCAGTGAGCATGGGTATTCAGGTGTGCTAAATCTCTGGGCAAGCGGGTCATCACTTAACTGTCTTTTCGACACTCAAGTTTGCACCTCTGCCAAAACAACCGCATCAACTAAATGTTCTATCGGAGTACAGCGTACTTAATACAAATGATTTGCCTTTAAACTTTAATGTGTGTCACTTCCCCAGCCAACATATGGTCAATGCTTCTGAACTAATGAGCGAACCAATGGCGCCGGTTATGAATTGCAAGTGTTTTCCAAGCTTGGATTTTTGGCTGTGTGCAACATTCGGATCATTCCACGTCTTTCCCGAAATTGGCACTATTTGCAGAATCGAGCCACACGTCAAAAACTTCATTTATATAAACTCCCCATTTTTTCCGATCCTCTGGAGAATGAATTAGGGAACAATGTGGGAAGTCAATCGTAGCGTAAATGTGCCGGACGGAATGCTTGGTTTTGTTAAATAGTAGCACTCAAGCGTACGCACGTGAAAAGAATACTAATCCTGGCGCTGAGCCCGATTCTTGTGCGTCCACTACGATAATGTGA